AATTTCGCGAAAATTATAACACTTCTGCTTGCTACCACTCGGTAGAAAGTACCAATAATGACAAAAGATGATCACGGCGACGGTAACAGCGTGGGAGACGACGAATGTCGGTTGATTCAAACTACTATGGTCGACTTGCTGATTCGTCGCGGAACCGAAAAGACGTGCTGACCCTCCGAAATTCCACGCAAGATTCACAAGAACTGGAAATCGTTATCGACCGAACGAAAGAAAGAATTGATGACCAAAACCCGATCGGTGGCATATCGCCTCGCTGCTTCTACCCCAACCCCCACGGCCCGCGAGCAGGAGATGGAAGCAAACGGCGACGCCGGCGGCAATCACGACGGCCACGAGGAGCAACGCAGCAAACGACAAAAAACCAGCGGGACCGCGACCAGTGCTCGTGCAACAGAACGTGGCTTTCTAGAAGTCACCCAAAAGGGAACTCCTATCTTGAATCCGTCGGAAGAAACAGTAAGGGGCCCCATTCGGTTGAGGCTGTTGCGGTTGCCTCCGCAGTCCACCGAGCTCGGCAGAGAGGCAGCAAGGGAATAATGAACTMWRACAGRGRGTGACGCCTAACCGAAATGCAAAGAACATARCAAMMAKAAGGCTTCGGATCATCAGCATGTGGAGGAACACATCTTCAGTGGAATGACAATCGTGACAGCWGAAAGCATTGTTTGACGAAACGAACACGAAGGTTACTTTCATGCGATTTGAAACAATACGAAGAGACAAAAGTGTAATGCTGTGCGTTGGGTTTGGAGCGATTCTATTGATCTACTTGGAGAATTCTATGAGCAATCGGCTGGTCTACAATGTCTATGTCTACTGTACGAGGATTTTCAAATGAATGAAAGAAGTAGTTGAGAAACCATTATAAACATCAGAACGGATTCTAGTTTGGATGCGGTTTCCTTCCCAATCACTATTTAATAGTGTGCTACCGACATGAAGCATGCCACAGTACCCAGTTGCCCAAGTAAATAATAATTAATTGTAATATGAAACTACAAGTACGTTGTGTACTATRATTTCGAAAACACAAAGCCCGAAGTACTTCTAAATCACATTAAAAAACACCAAACTTCTCCCACGAAATTCAGTAGTAATATAACTCAAGTCATCCGATTCTACGAACGTGGTGATTTTCCCGATTCCAGCGCCCAGAAATTCCAAAAGTCCATGCATGAACAGTCGTTGATGACTCACTCSGTTGTTGACCGACAAATTTTCCCAAACGACTTCCGAATGCATGGAATTCCCGATTGGACGATCTTCTTCCCCATTCCCAAGATCAACCATTTGAAGGAAGTAGCCGCAAGCAGTGAAATTTTTCTTTGTCATTCAACAATCAACTAAAATTCGTCCCTATTTCACGTTTGCTTCTTGTCTTCTTTGCTGTCTCGAAAGCGTTCCTCCCCCCCATTTGGTATACTTATCTTTTGTTATATTCTTCGTTTTGTTCGGGATTCACCCATCAAATGCATGCAAGCACACACAGAAGCGTTCCTGTGTGATGTAAGGTCATTTGTGCTTTTCCTCCAGTCCTTTTAACCCTCCGGTGGTTCCATTCCCATCGGCTTTCAGGCGGGTGGCCCGGCAGAAGACTGAGGCCCGGGAGGAGCAACGCCCTGGGCACGGGGATCCACTTCGCCGTGCGGCGGCGGATGGTGGTGGCCGAGATTGGACAGGTCCGGTGGCGGGGGTGGATGTGTCGGAGCGTATGGATCGCCGCCGCTTCCGTCCAGGGGCGGAGGGTACCCCTCACTCCCCGGGTACATCGGTGGMGGCGGTCCGCCCGCGTAACCGTGGTAGGGCGAGGGCGGAGCTGCCATCATGCCATAMGGGGGCGGCGGGGAGTGGTGGTAGCCCCCTGCATAGCCRTAGTGTGGAGGAGGGTGTGGATACCCGGCCGCTGGGTGGTGCTGCGGCGGTKGCTGCGATGCCTTGGACAGAAACGCCTTGTGACTCCTGCCGCCCATGGTGGCCAGTCCCAGCTCCTTGAGCTTGCGCCTCCTCAATCGATCCCCCTCGTTCTTGCGGGCCTTAGCACCCAGAGCATTTTCCAAAAACTGCACCTCTAGCTTGGTCCGCTCGTGCTCGGGTTTGCCCAGAATGCGTTCGATCTCGGCCTTCTTTTCGAGGGCCCGTTCCCGAGACCGGCCATTCTTGTGTTGYCGGCGCTCGTAGTTCTTGGCTACGATCTTGTGTTCCTCTTCGGTCCATTCCTCCCTCGGTTTCGTCTCGATTTGTGCCACCAAAGCTCGATGCTTCGCGGCCCGGGCCCGGGAATTCGCATTCTTCCGGGCCCTGCGATCCAAAACTTCCTGCGGAACGCCTATGCCCTTTGGCTTRACGTATACCTTGAGGTTGCGGGTAGCGTTGGCTTCGGCCGTCGTTGACGGCTTGGAGGGTGACGGAGGCTCCGTGCAAGCCGCCCCGGTGGTCGCCGATGGCCCGCTGGGGTCCTTGCCATCGCCCTCGGTATCGRCGGTCCTCGGCTTGGCCGGGGATGACGGTGGGAGTCCGGTCCCGTAGCTCCCAGTGGAAGGCGACGGAGGTGGRTGGTAAAAGGCAGAACCGTACATACCAGGATGCGGGGGCAGAAGGTGCGGGTTGCTGTGCTGCTGCATGGGGTAGCCTCCACCACTAACGCTATTGCTATTCCCAGGCGACTTCACCGGACTTGTTGGAGGCCCGTATGGAGCATATTGATGTGGAGGCGGGGGGTAGCCTCCATAGTGAGGAGGAGGAGGGTAGTAGTGATGCATGTTTCCTGGTTCCGAACTGCTCATTATTGGCGGCGTATCACTGCTGCCCCCGTCAAGCTGCTGCTGCTCACTACTCTCGGTTTGTGATGGTGGAGGGGGGTGCCCATATGGGGAGTGGTGAGGGTGGTAGGCAGCGGAAGGGTGGTGCGGTGGTGGGGGCGGGTAATACCCACCATAGTAGGGTGGTGGCGGATGCATGCTTGGGTGATAACCATATTGTTGCTGCATCTGTTGATAATATGCAGCCGCTGCATCCGCATCTGGATCCATATCTGCATCAGAGTTAGGGTGCGGGGCGGTTTCTGCTTGTTTTCCAGAGGGCACAGCGTCGCCGTCGTTCGGAGGGGGCTGCGTTTCTGTTTCGGCTCTCGCGGGTKTCGTTCTTGCCGATTCTTCCTCCTTCGTGCAGTTCTTGCCTCCTTCTTCGCCCTTTGGTTCCTCCTGGTCCGTGTTTGGCGTCTCGCCCTCGGACGGTGGATTTGCACCTTCTTTCGCTTTCCGTTCGCCCTCTTTTTCGTTTCTGTTCTGATTGGGATTCTCCAATGTTTCTCCTCCGCTGCCTCTGTCTTTTGGTTTATCTTCGTCCTGGACATCGTTCTTGGTCTTTGCTTCGCCCTCGCCTTCCACTATTTCGTCTTTGCTCTTGTCTTCTGCACCAGTTGKTCCTGTTTGTGCCGTTGCTAATTCGTCGCTTTTCTCGTTCTCGTCGTCGGCATTCGTCTCAGAATTAGCTACGGCCATTTCGGCTRCATCTACGGAAGATGACTTCCCGTCTTCTCCCATCGCTTCAGGTGGCTGTTTCGTTGGAAGAACCGAGCAAAAAATCAAACATAAATAAATCAGTGCCGAGAATTCAACAGAATGAATAAATATTGCATATACCGGTAGAACAATCAATGGCACCAATAGAAATCGCTGCACCCTCAAGGAATGATAGTATGATGAGATATGACTCACATCACGGGTTATTGAGTGACCGGATTGATTGGAATTATTGGATTTGACGAGATTGAATTCAATTAAACAGGCAATCTCAATCGATCAACTTAATCGATTGGTCTTGTTCCCCTTTCCCCGTTCCCCTTCACTAACCCTAGTAWGCAGAGACGTCAAATGTAACAGATCAGAAGAAAAATTATCTGACCTCCGTTCGAAAAACGAATCAGAGAACCCCAGGTGATACGTCTGTTGCTACAGATGCCGATATTGTTTCAGTGCAACACCTTATTTGGTACGTTCTGTTGTGTATTTTTCTTGTTCGATTGTGGTTTGTGGTGTCAAGCAAGATAGTTACGATACATAGGTATAATCGACTAATAATGAAGCTTGGCGTGCTATTTCAATGGTTCTGCTGACTTTCTCCGTACTCGTACCGGGCAAGCAAGGGCGTCCTAGGAATAAGGCTGGTAGGTGGTGCTGTTAGGCTCGTCCCGCAAGGCARTGTAAACCCGTCTCTGGCGGCCTGTTTTCWAGGCTCGGTGGGTGCGTGCCGCTGCCTCCACTGCAGGCCGACGGAGAGTTCGGTTGAAGTTCCGCTCGTAACGTACGATTATGCTGCCGCTCACGCGCGACGAATGAGGTGGAGCTTAATACGGTGTTTCCAGTGGGGTCCGTAGATATTTCACGTACAAGAATTAAGTTACAAAAACACTACTGAATTTTTTGTTGTAAATCTGCTTCTGGCCGATGATTTGTTGTGACATTTGTATTGGCTGCCCCGCTGTAGAACTATCAGTACATTTCTACCGTACTATTGATGAAGAGGTTCGAATATCGGCGTGAAATGATGAGATTGCAGAGATGTCCCTCATTCGACGAATTTCGACCTCGAGCTGGCCAGCCATTCCGTGCTGTGACTCCACGTGTCACACAACTCAACTGGATTCCGGCAAATGAGGGACAGACCAGATGAGCATGAGCACCACTAAAATAAAGGAAGGATAACAAAGCTACAAACTGCTATRTGGAAGGCAATCAAAGGAAAGCAATGAAGGTGTCAGTAACTGGTAACAGGGAAAAGAGCTACTTTGATTTCGAAGTTTGTAGCGCCATTCGTCACTAGTAAGAATGATTCAAGAAGAAGTAGTATTGTGGTCATTGCAGATTGTTGTTCTTTCTTACTTCTCCTAGCATTGCATAGGTATTTGTCATTTGAGCTGACATGGAAAATCTTTTGTGTATGGTTTGTAGTTGTGGATGACATCAATAAGATTTGTGCATGTAATATCAGCACCTGTGTCGATTTGCACTCTGACTGTCGTTGAAGAAATATTTGTAGCTAGTAGTGGTGCATATCTTTGGTGGCGGTGGTACATTCAATATGTCTTGTGTTGAAAGGTTCGTAGGGTGTATCAGGACCTTTCTTTGTTTTTGGTGTCAATGCATAATGTGGATATGTTGGTGTTTTTACAGTATTCCAAGATGGGTGATGTGACTTGTTCTTGCATCATGTTGTGTCACTRGMAGTGATGAATTGCATATGCATGATATGGATGGTGTTGAGCATATGAAGAACAGGGACTGGTGATGACAGCAAAGAGGAAGGGCTTGGATGTTCCAATTTTGTTGTCCACCCTAGACAAAATCCRTCTTGTTTTCTTGGTGGTCTTGTGGGCCATGGGTTGGGGAAGTTTCGTTGATTATCWTCTGGGTCTCTTCTGTTGGTGGTTCAGTATGGACAAGGTTGACTGTTGCACTTGCCTTTGCCAGTGAGTTTTGAGCATGTTCATACATTTGACAGAAGTTGATGAGATTTTGGTGAAGGAGATTGGATTATTGTAAAATAGGACAGTGGTCAAAAGTACTTTGGGAAGTTTGGCTGGTCATCATGTTGCAAATAAGGCATGGGCGGTTGAATGATGCTGGGTTGGCTTTGATTTGATTAATTGACATTGAGTAAGCAAAACCCAAGTGTTCTTCATCAATTTCAGCACTTTGGATTTGATTTATCAAGATGGGTTTTGGAATGTTATCAGCACGTTGTTATGTTGATAGTATGTATGAATAGTATTTTCTAGGTGGGGTTCGGAATACTGGTTGCACCTGTGTCAGGCTATTATGGAAGTTCAAGTAGTGTTGAAGGGTTGCAACGAAGTTGGACAGTTCAAACATGTGTTTTAAATGATCAAAATCTTGCTCTCTCCTGTATAKTTCCATTTGAAGAAAAGAGGAGTGTGTACATTCATTTACAAAGTGTTTGCATTCATTTCTATCATACACAGCAGTTTGTTTATTGCCTTCAATAAATGTACAAATCATGATGCAATGGTTGTATTTCTTAAGGTATTCCATAAGGGAGAGAGATCCTTGAGTCAGACAAGTTGTGACTAACATGGATGGAGATTCAATCAGAAGTRGATGTGTGTTGCAGATGATTGCTTTTAAGGCTTCATATCCATGATGTCCAATGATCTGGCAGTATTTATCTTTGGATGCAAAGAYGTTATGGATGGCTTGTGAATCAGTTGATATTTTTGTTTCAAAGGTTGGGTGAAGGTCATCTTCTTGGTTCTTCATACCTAAGGTGAATCCATGTGGGTGGTTACATTTAGGACAGAAGCATGGGTAAGGGTGGCAATATTTTCTGAAATGCAAACAATGGGCTGTGAAGCATATATACAAATTATATAGTTCATAAGCTGTGTCCCATGTTATTTTGTTTGCTGTAGTGCAGAAGTTCTTTTTGCTTTGTGGTCCTAGGTTGATAAGAACAACRAAGTATGAGCCATCTCAAGTGACAAAACCAATTGATGGGTKTTGTGRGTCTTTGTGATATTTATGGAGCGCATCTGGGTTCTTAGGAGATGTATCAAGGATGTTGSTCAAGGTATCAGAGGTGTGGTATTTATACTGGGTCATATTGAGTTTATAGCGATTGTTGACCTGATCATGGTAGTTCATGGGAACAAGTGGGGTGATGTTCAGACTATAGGTCTTTGCTTTTGGAGCAAGGTGTTGAATCATCGTGGCCTGTTGTTGAAGTATGTTATTGTTGTCATTAAAGAGACAAATAATGTCTTTATGAACAGGAGGTGGTTGGGTTGCATTGTTAGTACAAGTTTGGTTGTTTTGGTTGTTTTGGTTGACCGGAGGAGGAAAAGGAGTGTGCAACAAATGCCAAAGTTGTAAACKTCTTTCGCAAGTGGTCTCTCATCAATGAAAACAGGGGACCAGTTAATGCCAAGAATAAGTGTATTTTTGTCCTCGGATTTTGGGACAAAATTTAGGCCTCGGACGAGGTTGTTGAGGKTATTTCCAGTTTTGATATGGATGTTGTTTGAAACAGTTGTCATAAGCAAGGTTTTGTTGTCAATGATACCATCAATAAGGGTGATATCATTGGTGTAAACTGCATTTTGTTTGATGTTATTGATGATCTTTTCTTCGATTGTGGTGATGGTTAGGAAGTGATCCAAAAAGGCATCTCCATTGGCATTAGGGAGGGTATCAAAGTTGAAAGACAGGTGATAAGCGTTGTTCATTTCAGCGGATAAGTTAGGATGAAGATGATGATCAAGGAAGACAACATCAACATTCATGACCTTTGGATGGAGAGGACAGGCGTTGGTACCACCAGAAGGCGTTCTACTACTAGATCTGCTTCTTGTGATTGGCACGGTGAAAGGTAGTCTTGAGTATTGAAGGTCTGGATGAGAAAGACGATTTGGAATAAAAGATGTTTTGATTTGAATCAAAATATGTTTTATGAAAYGTTTGTTGTGAAGAGATAATTTGCTGTTTGTGTGTAAAAGTATTGGTTTTCATGAGAAGCTTACTAAGAGTAACTGTCAAAAGAAGAGTTTTACGGTAACGTGTATTGGTATTGTGAAGTGAGATGGTCTTGAGTGTGGTAATAAAAATAAGATGCACGCTTGSGCAAATGTGGGATTTAATTTTTATCATACRTGTGGGATTTAAAAATTATGATGAGATTGTTAGCGCCAAATATGTTTTGGAAAGCAAGAATGTGTGTCTGGATTCATGGTTTCAAGTTTGAAACAACAATAGCGTAGGGGGGRAAATAATAATATTGTTGACAATGGTGAGTATGATGGAACAATCAATTTCCTTRTGTTTCCTTCAATAGACATCAGTGCRCTGTTTTATGTGTTGYATCATATGTGYGACAATAGTTTGTYGTTCAAAGATGTGTGCCATTGAATTTGGAAGAGTTGTATGAGGAGAGAGCACACCAAAAAWAGATAGCCATGGCRGTGTTGATTTTTTATTGGAAGGGTGTCATACCCTGTGGGAGTGACTATCTAATAGTGATGTAAATCAAGTGCTAGAAGAAAAGTGAGTCGGTGCTCTTATCAAGGATTGAAAACTATGAAATCTATGATTGATCAGAATGAAGATCGAGTGATGTGTGAATCGAATGAGTCAAGTCAGTCACATAAGTKAATCAAATGAGTCAAGTCAATCATGTGGATCCATAGGATCRACTGAATGTAGAGAGTGTATGTATCATATATATTTTTTGTAGATATGAATCATACCCACAATCTGATATCATACAGACAGTATAAGACCCAAGATGACAAAGAAAACTTGTTCTTAAAACACAAGGAAAGCCTAAGGGGCCTCTGTTTCCTGCAACTGAAGGCTTAGAGGAAGACAAAATCCAGGTTCATCCCTTTGTTACTAAGCTCAAAAAGAACTAACCTCCCTAAGACCAAACCCCAAAGCCTGACTGATTGAGCTGAAAACAATATGCTCAAGCTGTAAACCAATGTACTAGCATAAATGTATGTTTCTTGACTACCTTGATTCTTAAAGGGAGCCGGGCTCCTCCTTGTGTCAAACACACAACAGCAAGACATCCCAGTCACTGGCCTGTTCATTTTGAAGAGTATGTGGGACTACAACATGCTGTAGGAAGGGTTTTCAAAAGTTTTGCCCAAATTAAAATAGGTTATGAGTACAATAAAACGTGCCAGTTTTTAGCTGTTAGCAGCTTGTTCTTGCTTTGCTTGCTCCTTGTTACTGCTAAGAACAAAGCACCAATCAGAACTAGAGAATCTGTTAGTTGGAAAGGGTTTTCTTTCTTCCTACTGTACATAGTATGTATATTGTTTTTTTGCTATTGCTAGTATTGGTGATATGTTTGACTAGACTAGGGCAACTAGTACTACAGCTACTGCAATTCTCCTTAATTCCAGAAATCCAGCAGGTACTATTTTGTTCCCTGCACAACAACATGTTGTTGCGAGGAAGCAATAGAAGTTGTACAAATAGTTCAATGACTATTGAGAGTTTTGCTGGTGTACAAAGCAGTGTCTTGTGAAATCAGG